AACTCTTGGGAATCTGGGTTAGTGAGGTTGGAGAGTGTTGGGCAGTGAGCACTGGACCCTGGAAGTGCGGGACCGAGTGTTCCTTTGCCGTCCCCAAACTTGATCTTACCTGAGGAGTTGGAATCACCTAAAAGTTTTACGGAAACTCGGTCAGATCCTGTGGGACTCCACTTCCACTCCTCTCGATCCTCTCTACCCTCACTCCCAACTGACTCAAGCTCTCTGACTCTCTGTTCAAGGTTCGACTCGCTCTGCTCGATCTGCACTACACGCTCTCTAAGTTGAGTTACAGAACTAATATTCGTATTGGAATGCTCTTCAAGAGCTGATAAACGTTTTTTAATATCTTGAAGTTGAGGATTAATCTCACTTAGATGTTGATCAAATTTACTGTGCAAGCTAACAATAAGAGATTTTAAATCCGTAAGTTCGGACGGGTTATCACTTGCTTTATCAACATCAAAACGAATACTGGACTGAAAGTTGTGAGTAACTGGCATTTTAGCCGGAGGTTCTTTGCCAGATTCACTAGTTATACTATCAGAACTATTTGCACTTGAATTTAGTGCACGTTTAATAGATTCACTTTGAGAGAAAGCACTGTCAGAAGAAAAGTAAGAATCAATACGAGGAGTATCGTCAATTTTAGAAAATGTGAAAATCGATTTTGAACCCATCAGATAACAGATAAATCTCAAATGTGACAGTTAAATTGACTAATTAATGGAATGTCAAAACAGGTAACCGTTGATAGATCGTAGATTAATAGCAAGGTTGATAGAAGCACTATTAGGAATATGTAACACTAATGTACGGGATGTACGGAATATTCCAGAAAATGTATAGCTATATGGTAAAGGTGGCTTGAGCAGCGCAATTCTATAAGTTAGCTAATCTAAGAGATAAGAAAAGACCAACATATAGATAATTGTAAATCAGCACTGATCACATAAATTTAACTATCGAATACAGGTTTGATTATCGAATATAGGTTCGATTATCAAATATAGGTTCGATCTGATATAAATTTGTAAAATAAAATATTTAATTATTAAAAACATTACATCAAGTGGTTAAAAATGGATCTGAAAGCTTATCAGTTTATAGTTCAATCATGATAGTAATATTAGGTGTGTGCTGCTGCATGTGCAATTTAATTACTGCAATTTAAAATTGGTTGGAGTCCAGGTATCTTTTAAGTCAGCTGCCTGTGGTTGTACTAATAGTGCTTTGGTTCTCAATTTTATCAAGTTAATGGAAGTTTCTAGGCAATTGCTTGAAGTTAAAATTTTTTTATGAACTGTGTTCCAAAGCTTGGCTGCATTAAACAAAAAGGTATTTGATTTATTTAGAAGAATAACAGTTAGACTCGTTGCACGGTTTGAAATGTTGATGGCCTCATAAAGGGAGTAGGGGCAGTGGTACTTGATAATCTTAGAGAATTCTAAAATGCAGTGATATTTGTACAAGTTTTGAGCCGTTAGAATTTTTAGTCTATTAAAAATGGGTTTTGTATGCTCCTTTTCAAAGTGTTTATGGTCTAATTTTTGCATACCATACGGTCTAGTACTATACGTGCACATGTTGATTGTTTATCTAAATATGAGTCGAGATCACCAAAAAGGATCCTTACACAGTGCTTCTGTGTGATAAAAAGACTGTCATTTGATCGTTCTTTAAGGACAACGCCCCAAACACTTATACCATAACTGAGATGTGATTCAAAGAGAGCATTATATATTTTCAAATATAGATCACCAGGTATCGAGTGTCGAATTCTACAGATTGCACCAGTCATGGACCGAAGTTTTTTACGAATGTAGTGCATATGGGCAGCCCAGTTTAACTTACTATCTATAACAATACCTAGGAATTTGGTATCCTTGACTTTAGTAATAACCTTACCATCGATGAATATTGACCTAGACTCATCTAGCAGGTTAGCAAATGGTCTGGTCCTTGCACAGGTCTCATCATATTCAGAGGCAGGTTAAAACATTATAAACTGGGGTAACAGTGTGGTTACTAAAACATCATAAACTGGGGTAACAGTGTGGTTACTAAAACATCATAAACTGGGGTAACAGAGTGGTTACTAAAACATTATAAACTGGGGTAACAGTGTAGTTACTAAAACATCATAAACTGGGGTAACAGTGTGGTTACTAAAACATTATAAACTGGGGTAACAGTGTGGTTACTAAAACATTATAAACTGGGGTAACAGTGTTGTTACTAAAGAAAACAACAATTTCAAGAAAACAACAATTTTATTTAGTATCAATTAAAGCAAACATAAATATATTTTATATATAACTAGCAGGACCTTTTTACCAGATATCTTAGGGGACTTGGAGTAGCAAGAGAATGGATAGAAGGTATATACCTAATACAAAAATACGTCAAAAAGAATCCAGGGTGATACAGGATCGGAGAGTGCAGACCGTAAAGTTTACGCACCCACCCTTGCCTCCTAAATTCTTGGTTGGGTAGGCATTTATGCGAACTTGGTCGTTTATACTCCAAGTCCCTTTGTTAAAAACTAATAAAATTTATCTCAGGAGTTAACTTCATTCAACAATAATAATATCAATATCAATTAATCACATAAATTTAACTATCGAATACAGGTTTGATTATCGAATATAGGTTCGATTATCAAATATAGGTTCGATCTGATATAAATTTGTAAATAAAATATTTAATTATTAAAAACATTACATCAAGTGGTTAAAAATGGATCTGAAAGCTTATCAGTTTATAGTTCAATCATGATAGTAATATTAGGTGTGTGCTGCTGCATGTGCAATTTAATTACTGTAATTTAAAATTGGTTGGAGTCCAGGTATCTTTTAAGTCAGCTGCCTGTGATTGTACTAATAGTGCTTTGGTTCTCAATTTTATCAAGTTAATGGAAGTTTCTAGGCAATTGCTTGAAGTTAAAATTTTTTTATGAACTGTGTTCCAAAGCTTGGCTGCATTAAACAAAAAGGTATTTGATTTATTTAGAAGAATAACAGTTAGACTCGTTGCACGGTTTGAAATGTTGATGGCCTCATAAAGGGAGTAGGGGCAGTGGTACTTGATAATCTTAGAGAATTCTAAAATGCAGTGATATTTGTACAAGTTTTGAGCCGTTAGAATTTTTAGTCTATTAAAAATGGGTTTTGTATGCTCCTTTTCAAAGTGTTTATGGTCTAATTTTTGCATACCATACGGTCTAGTACGTGCACATGTTGATTGTTTATCTAAATATGAGTCGAGATCACCAAAAAGGATCCTTACACAGTGCTTCTGTGTGATAAAAAGACTGTCATTTGATCGTTCTTTAAGGACAACGCCCCAAACACTTATACCATAACTGAGATGTGATTCAAAGAGAGCATTATATATTTTCAAATATAGATCACCAGGTATCGAGTGTCGAATTCTACAGATTGCACCAGTCATGGACCGAAGTTTTTTACGAATGTAGTGCATATGGGCAGCCCAGTTTAACTTACTATCTATAACAATACCTAGGAATTTGGTATCCTTGACTTTAGTAATAACCTTACCATCGATGAATATTGACCTAGACTCATCTAGCAGGTTAGCAAATGGTCTGGTCCTTGCACAGGTCTCATCATATTCAGAGGCAGGTTAAAACATTATAAACTGGGGTAACAGTGTGGTTACTAAAACATCATAAACTGGGGTAACAGTGTGGTTACTAAAACATCATAAACTGGGGTAACAGTGTGGTTACTAAAACATTATAAACTGGGGTAACAGTGTTGTTACTAAAACATTATAAACTGGGGTAACAGTGTGGTTACTAAAACATTATAAACTGGGGTAACAGTGTAGTTACTAAAACATCATAAACTGGGGTAACAGTGTGGTTACTAAAACATTATAAGCTGGGGTAACAGTGTAGTTACTAAAACATCATAAACTGGGGTAACAGTGTAGTTACTAAAACATTATAAGCTGGGGTAACAGTGTGGTTACTAAAACATTATAAACTGAGGTAACAGTGTGGTTACTAAAACATTATAAACTGGGGTAACAGTGTGGTTACTAAAACATTATAAGCTGGGGTAACAGTGTGGTTACTAAAACATTATAAACTGGGGTAACAGTGTGGTTACTAAACAATATAAACAGGGGTAACAGAGTGGTTACTAAAACATTATAAACTGGGGTAACAGTGTAGTTACTAAAACATCATAAACTGGGGTAACAGTGTGGTTACTAAAACATTATAAACTGGGGTAACAGTGTGGTTACTAAAACATTATAAACTGGGGTAACAGTGTGGTTACTAAAACATTATAAGCTGGGGTAACAGTGTGGTTACTAAAACATTATAAACTGGGGTAACAGTGTGGTTACTAAAACATTATAAACTGGGGTAACAGTGTAGTTACTAAAACATTATAAACTGGGGTAACAGTGTGGTTACTAAACAATATAAACTGGGGTAACAGTGTGGTTACTAAAACATTATAAACTGGGGTAACAGTGTGGTTACTAAAACATAATAAACTGAGGTAACAGTGTGGTTACTAAAACATTATAAACTGGGGTAACAGTGTGGTTACTAAAACATTATAAACTGGGGTAACAGTGTGGTTACTAAAACATTATAAACTGGGGTAACAGTGTGGTTACTAAAACATTATAAACTAGCAGTTTTATAGTTAATTTATCTATGATAGTTTCATGGTGAAAGTCTGCTCAGGAGTCAGGATGCTTCATTAGTTCATATTGTGAACTAGATCCCCTCATATATAACTCCTGTCACATGACCCCTGTCACAGGGTAAACTGTTGTAAAAAGTGGGAATATAATGCTAATTGGGATATTTTTGGGTTTATTTAAACCAAATATGGTCAAATAAATCAACCTTTGATTAACTAGTTATAAGTATATATATAACCGGTATATATATATAACCGGTATATATTATATAACCGGTTATAGAAGTAGGTTATAACTCAATACTGGGTACTCACGAAGGTGGAGAAGCGGGATTCAAGAAAGGAGATTACACGGGACACGGAGAGCTCCGTCCCATAAGTGGGATGTTCTGTTACCGCCAGTAACACCTGATGGGGAGGATATTTATTATTTAAACTATAGTTAGTCTTTTTAACGAATAAAGGTGCACTCTAAATTATAATATTATTTGACACAATCTTTAAAACTAAATAACAAGTTATGATAGCACAGAGTACAGATAGTCTACCTCGAAGAGAAGTTTCGTAGTGGTGTCCAGATGTTCCGTACAGAGATCTTCAACCTGTAACAAGGGGAACATTCTTAACATTCTTCAGTAAATCACAGTTTTTAACACAAGATAAGGAAACAATCACCAGTTTTATTCTTCGATTCAGCCTATAATACCTACCTGCTCCCAAACCCCGCCCTATATACCACAGTCACCTTGGTAACAAGTCTATTATCTATAATTATCAGCTCATTATATATATATCAATTAACAGGTCATTATTAAACAATTAACAGATCATTATTAAACATTCAACAGGTCCCAATTTTGTAAGTAATCTTCTCTTTACCTCTGTACAGTTTGTAAGATGTGTTGTTAACCTCGGGACCGAGGAGATGTTCTCTACCAGCATTCGCAGCATTATAAAACTGAAATTATACCGTGTGAAATAGAATAGTGGATATTTCCCCTGTACTGTTTAAATGGTTACTAAAAAGTAGCATTTAACTTTGGGGAGCGGTAAAGTGGATCAAGCGATTAGGGCGAGACAGCGAGTTGAGAATGCAAAATGGTTTTAACATGTTAGTCGGTAGAATCTAATGGACAGCGGGCTCTGTTTGATTTTTACAGCGTGTTCATCGTATAAAGCGAGACGATATAATATTATGTATTTATATAATATTATAATATAATACATCTGTTGCCATTTTACTGACACGATCATCTCGACTTTATCTTGTAACAGCATGTTCATTATTATAACTTTGACTACTTGGGGAGACGATTTTAAAAGGGATGTGCTTTTAAAATGGGAAGAAAATCATGATTTGAAGTTAGCGATCTAAAAATGAATATTTTATCAATAAAAACGAATGATTATTTGCAAGATCAGCTGTTCCAGCAGAACCTGCAACATTCTTCTTTTGGGTTTGGGTCACTCTGGTGGAATCTGAATTATAATACAGTTTCCTGATACAGTTTGCAATGAAGGGACATTTGATAACCTCGATAAGTTTTAACGTTGAATGTACACAGAACAATTCATTCTTCGTGTAGTCGCCAAAATCTACCGTCGACAGATTTGGAATTGGGACCTGAACAGGGAGACAATACCTTTTTCGTCTTTAAAGCTTGAACCGCTTAAATAACACCGGATCTACTGTCATATGACATCTGGTAGATGTCATGTGTCCCCCTCACTACCCAAATGTCCCCCCTCACTACCCACGTGTCCCCCCTCACTACCCACGTGTCCCCCTTCACTACCCACGTGTCTCCCTCACTACCCACGTGTCCCCCCTCACTACCCACGTGTCCCCCCTCACTACCCACGTGTCCCCCTCACTACCAACGTGTCCCCCCTCACTACCCACGTGTCCCCCCTCACTACCCACGTGTCCCCCCTCACTACCCACGTGTCCCCCCTCACTACCAACGTGTCCCCCCTCACTACCCACGTGTCCCCCTCACTACCCACGTGTCCCCCCTCACTACCAACGTGTCCCCCCTCACTACCTACGTGTCCCCCCTCACTACCCACGTGTCCCCCTTCACTACCCACGTGTCCCCCTCACTACCCACGTGTCCACCATTACTACCCACGTGTACTCACTACCCTTAACCAAATCATGGTTTATCATGTCGACTTACCGACAACCATTAACGACTTCGAATTCTTCAATGTTAGATCATCATACGAAGAGTTTTGAAATAAATCTAGAAATATAGTGGAGGCAGAGCAACTCTCAGCCACATTGGAATCTGATGCAGCACTTGCACTACAACTTGCTAAGCACATGATTTGTTTCGTGACTCGAAGGCCACTTGATGTCCAATCTTCGAAGATGATCTAATTTTATGGAGTGGCACTGATGGAGACTGGAGATGGGCCAGCGTTGTTACGAAAGTCAAAAGTGTTCTTACGAGATCTATTATATTACGGGATACATGATCATAAAACAGCTCTATTTATCCCACAGTATATATACTTACAACTCAGTTAATATTATAAACCGGTTACTATGATGATCGGGAATTCAGGCGACACATACTTTAGCTACAAAATCAAAATAACCCTTCTGCACGTGACAGCCGGTGACAGAAGGTGTATAAGATCAACATCTTCACCTTTCATTTGTAGACAAATTATGTACCCATTATGAATAAGGTTCTTTTGGAAATACAGTAAAATAAACGTAATAATGAATTTGATTGATTTAACAAGAAACCACTTTGCTTATAATAACCTGTTGGCAGTAAGAAGATAGGCTCGCTGGGACAAATGTTCTGATTCTCTGAACATCTCCGCTAGACACGTTTCTAACTGTATCAAATACCTGAGCAAAATAATTAGATAATTCATTGATTACGGTTAACATAAATGGATATTGAGTTGTTAATATATATACGAAAAGTAAATCGGAACAAGACTTTTGAAACGTCCTGCAGATAATTAAATCTACGAAACAATTAGTTATATCCATCGCTGAAACTAGGAATTGATCTCTTTATGTTTTTATGTCTCATATTGCTAGCACAAATATCACGTGATCACGATCTTCTATGAACTGAATTCCGATCAGTTTGGTGTACAGATATTCAGTACTCTCTACAGCATATTTTACTTTCTACTTTCTAACTCAGAAGCCACAAATTACGATTGTGGGTGGGTTACTCTGAAGATTGAACCGTTGTCATAATCAACTATATTATACTGGTATTATATAAGGTATAATAATTAATACGCATTACGCAATGTAAAGGGGTGCGGGTGACTGATTTAATAAATCAGAATTGTTAGGGGATGTGTGAATCACTTTGGAGTCTTTCAATTTCATAACATTATTGGTTTGTGGCTCGGGAACATGAAAGGAAAAGAAATAACAATCCAATTGCATGCACCCAAATAGGGTGACGTCAGGGCTTATAACCATCTCGGGTTACAGTAAAGACCCTCCCACGCACCAACAGAATTTAGCAGCTCTAAATTTACTGGTAAATTGTAAACAGTAACCAACTTGGCTCCGATATGAGATACACTTGGTGCCTAAGTCACGTGATATGATATCAATTACACTATAGGTCACGTGATACGACCCACTTACTCTATCTCATCTGCTCGGTTGTTCTCGCCAGTTCCCTGCCGATATTTTCCCAGGTCCTCAACTAAAGCTGTACATAGATCAAGGTCCTGAAAGAAAATAAGGGTGTTTCAAAAGCTACTTGTAAATTAATATTTAAACATTATTTTTAAATGTATGTATCTTGAGATTTCCAGTGGAAATTGTCCACTGTAGATATCGGCTCTTTACACGAGATAGGGAGTTGAGAAAATTTACCAATCTATTAATAGCTCTCTTAACACAAACGTGATCTAGAACAGTCCTCTTGTTAGGTTTCATAAATCAGCTTAAAAAACTCAACATGTCGGAGTCAAGAACGCATCTTAAAAACCTCATTTTAGTTATTTAAGTTTATCGTGCCGTTCTTCACTTTCGCCAAGCACAACTTTGAAAACAACTGTCCATTCATTGCTGTTAAAAACAAAAAACAGCGTGATATTGATCACGAGCAATGTTTGGAAAGTGTCACGATGTTGTCTCCAGACAGGGGAACTGTTATCTCACTTCGAACAATCAAACTAGATAATTTGTTGTATATACTGAGATCAAGCTATCAATTTACAGGCTGTTGTCAAACATGTTGCAAGGTGTCATCTTCAGTGGCATACAGTCTCCAGACATGATTATATTATGAAGGAGTAATAATGATGTTGTCTCCAAACAGTCTATCATGTGATACGGCGTGACGTTGATTGATCAGCTATCATGTGCACGGTTAAGTTTTACAATTAGTAACACAACAGAAACAGAGGTTTAAAATTTATGTTGATTGTATTTTTTATACAGTGGAAATATCATGTCAATATTATATACGTGGCTGGAAAAAATGTGAATTGTTTTTTTTGTAATGTGAAATTAGATTTTTTGGAAAATGGATCTTATAAAAAAGTACAATACAAAGCTAACACATAAGAAGCCACCTGCCAGATCAACAGTGTACCGTGAACCATGGATATTGGATATGGCTACTGACTCCTATTATATATAATCATTAACGTTGACTTACATTAATATAAATGTAATTATTAATTAAAAGAGACATCTCACCTTCCAAAAGAACTTCTTGATGTTCATATCGTTACAAGCAGCAGTGAACAGCTCCTGAACCAGATAAAACCTTTTCTCCAGGGTTTTGTTAGTTTGGATGTCTGAAGAAAGCTGAGCATACAGCTGTCCTCGCAAAATACTGAAAATAAGTGAAGATTAAAATAACGTTTTAAGAAATTTTACAAAGATGTCGTAGCACCCGAAGATATATCTTCTTGATTGTAAATCTAGTGTTATCACAGTCCGAGTTCTGAGATATTAGATACCAGCCACTGCCGTGATACTTCAAATACTTACATTGAACTTGGTGAATAGTTCATTCAAGGTATATCATGCTACGTAGAAAGTAGATACAATAAGTGAAAAGGTGCAGACTGCAGTTGTGCGCATTTTTGTGTTTAAGTACAGAACATGCATGAACGATACAGTATAATAATATAATATAACTAGGATCCGTGATCAAACTTTTGAGAGGTTTAAGGACCCCAACCGCTCACCGGTGCCTGCGGGGCAGCTGCGCAAATATTAACATCGCCAAAATTTAAAAATTTTTATATTTTAGACCACGCCCATTCAAAATTGAACCACCTATATTGCTCTCTCTGAACATGATGAACGCCTATTTTTTCAGAAACTTTAGATTACCAAATTTTGCATTTGATAAAGGCCAACAAATGTTCAATGTACATTGACTTGCCCCCCCCCCCCCCCCCAGTGAGAGGTGCCGCCAGTCTAGAACATGGACCGTAATCATCATAAATCTACTAAGACTTGGAAGTTGGAGTTGGTCGTAAAAATGCTTGCCTAGGTGTATTATTATATAACTTAAATCAAGGTGGCCTAGGTGTATGCTAATTGGTATTGTAATACAAACAATTCCTCGACCACCAGGACCCGAAAACTCGAAGAACAATGGTCATTAAACTATTCAATAGTTGCCAGAGTTGGTCTTAATTGTTAGTTCAGTAAAGAGGGCAGAAGTTGATGAATTATTCACGAGGAAAGGATTAGTCGTGTCAGTAGAGGCTCACTAGCTCACATTTACTGGGTACAGTATTGGTTTTGCGGCACTGGTTCAGTTTATTTTAACTCCATCAGTATACGTTATAGATTATCAAAAAATAAAGCAGATTCAGCGTGCCAACATGCTGAAATTGTTCTTATTTTCATGGTGGCTTGGATTGTCTTTGGTGACTCAGATGATGAACCGATACAGGGTACGTTTAGTAATTAAAATATGTCAGCAGTTGTAACTGCATTTAATAGGGGAACATTTTGGTATGGAGTAGAAAAAAGATAAGGAAACCGTTAAAATGATGAATTCTCCGAATTTGTATCAAATAGGTAAATGCACAGAATTTTAATTGTGATACTTCAGATCTAAAGCTAAAGTTGGCAGCTGCAGAGTTAATCCCCACGAAGGTTACGCAAGGAAAAACATACAAAAACAAGGAGGAACAATTTGCAGCAACACATGCAATCGATAAAGACCTCTCAACTGTAGCAGCTGCTGCCACTGATAACGGAGCAGGCTGGATAAAGTTAGAGTTTGATAGAACCTACTTTATCCACAAGGTCCTTATCTACCATGAGTTTTATACCAACTGGTACCAACACCGTCCTGAAACTCAATGGTGTGGACAGGAAGAAGCTAATTTTAAGTCATGTGTGGATACTCATAACAACGTCGATGTGTCAGTGTACCAGGGAGAAGTAAAACAGAAGTCTTGTGGAACACTCCAACTAACATACGATCTAGAGCAGGCAGACCAGATCTACACACTGATCTGTGACACTGAAGGAGACACTGTAAAGCTCAGCAAGAGTATAGGGAACATATCAATAGCTGAAGTTGTTGTAACAGGTGAATTTAATAAGAAAAAGAAATAAATATGTTAAATAATATAGAGAGAGTTCTCTTATGAATAGCTTGGAAATAGTCAAGTACACTATATTCTTTTATTATAGTGAACATGAAGTGGTGAAATCATTCATCTGTCGTTCAGTAAATTGTCAATTAAACGTTAGTGTAGTTCAACATTTAACTTTGTGATAAAAACACCACCATCAACAATTTTGATCATATTTTTCTTTCAGGAATAGAATGCCATACCCTAGATTTAAACTGGAAAAACGTACAAACAATTCCTGATTTGCCAGTTGAAAATGGAAAGGAGATATATTTGACTTGTCCACCTGATTTCATCAAGAAGGGAGGCAACAAGGCAACTTGTCAGAACGGTGTTGTTGTCCCAACAAACCAACCTCCAGATTGCATTATAATTGGTAAGCTATCAAAATTGATCGGTAGATCATCGAAAGCCAGAGCCTATGTATGAGCTCTTTATCTCTTTGTATAGCCCACAACTGACTCATTGGGTTAATTTAGAAAATAGTTATCAAATGATACCCCAACTTAAACCCGCAACTTAAACAGTAAACACCCCCAACCAGCCCCCCCCCCCCCCCCTCCTCCGAGTTGCAATCATTCTTAACCCAGATATCTTTAGTCTCTTTTTATAAAGTCAGTAAAATGAACGATCGGCTAAGTAAAACTTATGAACCTTGTGGTCACTGAACGCGTTTTCCATGCATCGGTGCATCCTAGCACATGAGAACTTCTAGTTCTAAGGAAAAATAAGTTTTTCTTAAATTAGCCGATTTTGTGGGTACAATGTTTTGATTTTTAATATACTCGAGCCTCGTGTTATCAAGATGCACAAAATTAACCATAAAACTAGAATCACGGTGGCAGTGCGAGCTGATCATAGGAACAATATTATAGTTTTATAGAGTGCTCTATGCGCTGGTGCTAAATTTAATATCATCGGATAGGAAAAAAGTCTCAATCGAAGAGCGCCCTAAAAACAAAAAAGTAGATCCAGCGCACGTTTCCACAAAACGTTATGACCATTTGACAAATTCTGACGACACACGTCAATTAAAATACAAAATGTTGCTCGTAAATTGCACGTGCGCGTTCGACACCGTTACCATGGTTACCATGTAAATTCCTAATGTTCATCTAATTTGCACGTGGACGGTCGTACAAACATACAGACAGAAAAATATATATATATCGTATTTAATTTGAATGTATGTAACAGTTAGGGGAGTAGTCCTATGCAGTAAGATTTTGTTTTCGGTATTCACTTTGCCCCACAGGAGGGTAGTTCTCGATGCTGAATGGATTTTGAATTTCCATTTGATGCAGTTACATAACATGAAGAATTCGAAAAAAAGGGTGAGAAGAGCTATGTTTGTGTGTGTGTGTAAGGATATTCATGCTAAGTGGTTAAAACTTTACAATAAGTGGTAGTACTGCACAACACATTTCTAAACTCACACTAATCTTTCGATACTGTAAAAATACGTAATGGAAGTTAGTTACAATAGTTTTATAATGACATAACCCTACTATTAATATTCTGCAAAGTAAAGGCAGATTCATTGTAATAGAAACCCGGAGTTACTGCGTGCGAATAATATCTGCGTTATTTCTTTATAATGTGTTATTAAAGTAGAGTTAAATTATGCACAAAACGTCTCCGTGATATCTTACCTTTTCTTCCGCCTTGGTTTTGTGGATCCGTTCACAGTGATTTTAAGTTCTCGTGTCCCTGCCTGAAATAGAATCTGAGTTTTATCGTAGTATATTGATGATCTTAATCCGCTATTGTTGTGTTGATATTGGTTGACATGCAAACATCTTTAAGAACGTTTAATAACCACAATTGATGAAAATTTATATTATTTAACACTTGACCATTACGTCGCATGATAACGATCTCAATCAAAGTGGTATGAAAATTGTATGCGAGACAGAGCTGCACGATATATATGTACAAGCACTTGTGCTCCTTTATAAAATATAACGTTATGAAGGGAAGTTCACTTGTCAAGTTGCGTTCTATAATCAGTGACAAAAAAGTTACAAAACTATAAAATTAAAATCTTCTTCAAGAAGATAGGATCTAATATATGAGATTACAAGATTACATGATTTATAAAGATAAGACACGTAGATATGCACTATGCAGTATGCAGCCTGTAAATTTAGAAAACTATAGAATTAAAAGTCTTCAAGAAGATTATAATATCATAATATATATAACAAATGCTATATAAGATAAGATTACACTATTTTATCGTTTAGAAACGCAGTCTGTAAATTTACAAAACGATAAAAATATTCTGCAAAAACGTGAATAAGTAACCGTACTATTTTCTCGTTGAGGGAGGCGGCTTGTAAAAGTTGGAAGAAGAGGGTGGAGTCAGTGAGGAGGAAGAGGTCCAAGTCGGTGGTGGTCGAGGATGTGGTTCCTTGTGAGGAGACAGAACTGCCACTATCACTTAAATTCAGCCTGGGTGGTAAGAGAAATAGATAATTGGGATATAATATTTAATATTATGGTTCATGCGAAAGGTCACTTTTTGGTCATTTTCTTGTTTTTTATGCTGTTGCCGGGGAGATTTGGGCAAGTACTAAAATATAGTACAGATAATATTTCGCATTCAGATCAAAAAGGGATCTAATCTCATGGAAAGTATAGCAGTAGTCAGTACCCACCTGTCAAGCCTAGAAGCTGACTCATCGAGACTAGCAGTAGCGTCTAGTCTGAGTCTCCGTTCCTTGCTTGGCCGGGGGCTGGGTAACGAGCCGTGCCATGACGTGGAACTCAGATTGGAGAAACTAGCGCTCAGGGGCTTCTTTTTAGACAACTTCTCTGTAGCCGTGTCACCTGGTTGGACTGCAGTTCAAGTCAAGAGTCATTAGGTATATACATTGTACATTATACAAGGCGCTTATCATTCTGTTGTATTGGTCCTTCATTAACATGGTAACAACGAATGTCATGTCAGTAAAGCAATTATGTGATGACTTCATCGTCAGAATAGGTCAGTAGTAACATATGTGTGCTTCATAATCAGTGTTTACTGCATATCAGTACCAAGTTATAGTAAAATAAGTGTACTTTAAACTGATAACTAACCATCAGAAGATGCGCTGACATAAGACCCGGTACTCTCGCTAAGCGAACTCTCAGACTTAGCGACTGAATCCTGTCTGAACTTTAGCGAGAGGTGCTGACTCTTAAACCTTTCGTCGCCTTGCAGAAAATCTGGCAGATCTTGAACCTGGAGTTTTACCCTTTTTTAGTATAACTAGGGTTCAAAGATGTCGGCAAGCAGTATATTAACTGGCTCTACAATTATTTTATTATCATGTTATTAACACACCACAGCCGTAGCTACCTGTTTGATAAAAGTAGCTAACTTTTCATATAGTATTCGAAATATTGCCAACGAAATATAAATAAAATAAAACGTGTCAAAAACAGGAATGCATATTAAATTGAAAACTAAACTTGGGTTTAGTGCTACCTAGAACTACCAAGGAAAATGAGCCGATTTTTCACGCTATTGAATTTCTAAAACATTGTTTACAGAAGGTACTGTATATAATCAGACTCTAACCAAGGTTAATGATAAGAACTCGATCAGAGGTAATGTGTAAAGAATAGTTCTCGGGGGGGAGTCTGTGATGATAAGGTTTTTAGAGGTCAGCAGAGCAAGCTTCATCGACTTGTCCACCACACATCTCTCGTAGCATCTGATCCTGGGGTGAGAGTTCAATTTATTTTTAAACAAAGCATTTTTCCTCATCGTTGTACTCAAATTGGACTTAGATGTTAATAATTCGAATCTTGCTTTAAATCAACAATCTTGTTTAAATGAAAGAAATTAGCAATAATTTACAGTTACACGTGTACTTAAAAGTTTACTGGACAATTTCTCAAGTCACAAAACTAAATAATCTTATCAATTGTTAATTAATAAATAAGCCCCAGTTTTACCTTTGATACTCAGCAGATGGTAGATTTCGTCGCATGAAACTCTCCAGCTTTTGGTTTACAACTTTTTGCTTCTCCATAATGGTCCATTGTGTTAGTGGAGCCAGTAAATTTGCTTATTAGAGTTGATCTAATAAGCAGGAATTATAAGGTTAATAAGTGTGTAGGGTCGTCTGTAGACCTGTATGATCATGAGCTGTAAGAAGAGATAGTAAGAACAAAATAATATGGTCATTTGGTCTCACAAAATAATCAAAACTTCAGGTCAAAATGTTTTTGATATTTCAATACAAGAACTAATATGATCACATTCATTAAAAGCAACAGGACTAACTGGCAGTATGAACATTAAGGCTATAGGGCTAAATACATTTTTTTTAATTACAAGGTTATGCACACATGATATCTCTCTCTGCCATGAAACATGGCTAACCTTTCAAACTATGATTAAAAACATAAACCTAAACTAAAACTCAACTGGGCTCTCCTATGTCACCAAACTAGACCAATAAGCAATTTTAGCTTAAATAATTATATTTTTATATATTTGTATAATAAGTATATTGACGTAGTGGATGGTTGAGGGGGTTTTAAGCACAGGTCACTCTCAAATCCTAAAGGTAAGCAGTGGCCTTCGGCACTTGAAAGTTGAAACCTCTTCAAACCTCTCCTGATTTATTTATTATTGATATTGTTTGATTGTGCCGTAAAAATAAATATTTGTTTTATTAAATATTTGTTTTATTATAAGCAATTAAGTGGTAAAAATATTTATTGACCATGTCGTAACAGTAACATAGCTATCAACTATTTTCTTAAATAATATAAGATCATCAATCATTAGGGATCGTACCCCCCCCCCCCCCCCCTCCGTAATCAACCGTAATCAAGACCGAACCCCCCCCCCCCCTATGTTACGTAATCAAGGTTTGACCCACCCCCCCCCCCCGTAATCAAGACCCAACCCCCTCCTTTTATTACTATCTATTACATGCTCATTTTAATTTAAGCCATTAATTTATTAAAAGCTATCACAACGGATTAATGAATGAAATAATCGCAAAGCACTTACTAAACGAAAATTGGTTTAAAAAACGAAAATTTTGATTACATAATTAACAAAAATTGTCCAATTGGTATCTCGAAAATCGGTAAAAAATTAAAGTTTTGATTACGTAATCAACGACCAAACCCCCCCCCCCCCCCCCCCCCCCCGTAATCAACCGTAAGCATTTGAAAATCCCCCCCCTCCCTCAGCTGATTACGTAATATGTGAACGACCCCTTAATGTCAAATATAATGATGGTAAATACCCCAATCGATATAGTTCGTAAGATTGATTGAGTCAGCAACAGATACTATACTAATAGAATAGATTGGTCATATTTTGCACTTCAGTGAATCCTAAAGTTTACCTTAGGCAAGTAAACTAATCTTACGGCATTTACTAAACCTTAATACAGTTAAGCAGCCCCGACTGTTGTAGTAGAATGAGACTAAATTTCTAACAAGTAGAATAGGGACAATCTGAACATTATTGTCTTTTGCTGATCTGATCTGATTTCTTTCAAGAAGCATATAATGAACAATCTGAGCACCTGTATGGTTTTTAACCTTAAAGTCTTCTGAAGTGAACCAAGAGACGTGACTTATGCTCAGTAGTATAATTACAGTCATAGCATTTGTCAGGCCTTTCTATACAATCTGCACAAATTGTACCACCACAAATTATGTTAGGGTAACGGATAAACTTTCAAGACTATAAAAAAGCTAAGTGATTACATATTGAATGATTAAATGGTGCATTCAGCAAAAACAGCTCATTAAGTATTTCGAAATAACAACAACCCCTTTCAAAAATTTTGTTTCTCTAATTCCTTTGAATTTAACATCTCTAACAGGGTTATTAAGTAGTATATAGTGAACAAAGTGAACGGCAAGAAGGTTAAAGCTTCCCCTGGAAACTGCCAGAGTTACATCATTTATCTGTTCCAATGTAGTGTCTGTGGAAAGGCTTACGTCGGTCACACTACTCGCTCTCTACGGGTTAGGACTGGAGAACATAGGGTCAAATATTATAAACTTTTAAATGACGATAAGGTAGACAGTGGCGTAACTTAGGGCCCCGCAGACCCCGCTGTGCGGGGGGGCGCCGTATAAGGGGGGCGCAATTTTCCTGAATTTTAGGCCCTTTCACTGAAAAAACGCCTAGTTTGTGTATTTCCCTGTCCAATTTAGCGTTCGGCCGACGCGAAAAAAATATTTGGGGTACCCTTTTTTGCTTCAGGGGGCGCAAAAAGCTATATAGGGGGGTGAGAAAAAAAGTACTCGACCTTTTTTTTTTTTTTTTTTTTTTTTTTAGGGACAAAAAATTTTAGGGGGCGCTTTTCGTCACTGAGCGGGGGGGCGCCAACAAGCAAAGTTTCGCCACTGAAGGTAGATGAAACAAGTGATGAATATAGTTTGGGCTTACATTTGTTGGATTATGGTTTTAGACAAAGGGAAGATTTTAACAAAATTTTAATGTGTCAATTACTGATAATTCTAGTCCTAAACTTTGGAAGTCCGTGAACATAAATATGTTCAACTACTCAAAACTTTAAAACCTTTGGGAATTAACACTATAAATCCTTTTGGCCTTCTCTTACTCCTTACATCTTAATTTTAACTTTATAACCGCGTTTTAAGAGTGTTCAGATTTTTAAAGGAATTTTGAGTTTTACTTACTTTTTACAATTTTTAGGGCTTATGTCACTGAAAATGACGCTTTGCAACATGTTCTGTTCGACGATAGCCTGTAAATTGATAGTTTGATCTTAGTATTTAAAACAATTCATTTAGCAAGATTGATTCAAAGGGAGACAAAGATTCCTCAGAGGATCACTAAAAAACCAATTCAGTATCAATATCACAATAAGGCAAATTGGCAAACATTTTTTTGGATGAATCATACGATAAAAACATTCATTAACTTTTGTTTTATCAATTAGAATTCGCATGAATACCACATATGAAAACGCACAATGATTAATTTGTAGCAGAATGCACTACTGGGCCGCGCAGCGCATCTTCTCGGTAGATTGGCGAGATGCACCACTGGGCGGTGGGCCTCACCGAGCTGCAAATGATTGACATCGTGAATCAAATGCATTAACAATTCATGGATCGTCATACCTCAAACCAAGAATTAATTAGATTGCATATGCATAGCGGGCAATCGGTGTTTTGAAATATAATGATAACAATTAAAAATCTTTTAAATATACTAAAACATAAAAGATTTTTAATTGTAGAGTAATTAATAATTATTCAGTTTAAACCGTATTCAGTATTTATTATTGATTGACGATGTCAATCCGTCGAGATCGTTGCTCTGTGAAGCAGAGCAACGATCGACGACGATGCGAAGCAAGAATGCTAGTTAGCGCGGCGCGTCGAAGCGGCGAAGTCTTCCAATATTTATTATAATTAGATCTGATCAGCGCTGATTACTGGGCCGCGCTCAGCCTGTCATTCCGCCAAATCTTTATTCGGCGGATATTTATCTTTATATGTTAATGAACATAATAGCCTGGGGTCCTTAGGTAACAGCGCTGATAAATATATTTTCATTTTCAATATTTTCACAAAAATATATTATAATATATTTTTGTAAATATGTTGAATATAATATGAAAATATAAGTTTTTTTGATCGCGCGCGATCAAAAGGGGTTGTAGCGTGTGTCAAGTAATGTGTGACGCGCTTCTGCAAGCGAAAGGGCTCTGGTTAGAGCAAACTGGCCGTCAAAGCCGCGCATTCATGAAAACAGGATTAACTTGTTTATAATATACGACAAATAAAAATTAATTTAAAACCATCCGTGGTTTTTTAAATAAATAATAATTTTACCGAAATCCATGAAAGCCAGCTTTGTAAAATTTATTATTAAATCATATTATATCGTCAATTCTAAATATTTACGCAATGCAACTGCATTTCATTAACCTGTAAACAAGTTCACATAGCTATGTGTCTACCACGGGTCCGTATTGCCTGATTTAAGTTACAGAAAAGCCAGCGGATCGCTAGCGGGCGCCTAACGGAGATGCACTAAAATGCAGCATTCATACCTAGCGGATGGCTAGCGGAGTATAGCGGACGCCGCGCGCAAACTATGAACTAGCGGAGAATAGTACTAGCTTCATTAACACACCCGCTAGTTTCCGCTAGCTATCCGATATTGCTGCTAGGTCCGCTAGCTTTTCTGTAACTTAAATCTGCAAAAAAAATCGGCTATATACGGACCCGTGCTACGCATACTCAGTACTGCGTGACGCGCTTGTTTCACGCGCAGGCAACTGGCTCCTTTTGCCTACTGCTTTTGGTTTAAGCGCTGACTCACATTTGAACTGGCAAAGGTATAATTGAAATATTTATGAAGTCAGCATGCTAAATTATTTCGAAAAACTCGTTTATCTTAACGGGTGATACTCGTAAAATATCTGTTCCATATATTGTACCATATATTATACCGTCGCGACGAGTCCGACTCGGCGCGCGTCCTGGTAGGTTGTAAACCTACAACGTTTATTTTGATCTGACATTTGCATTATTGATGATTTAGAGTTAATGGTATAAGGTTTAGGCGCGGCGCACCGCTTAAAGCTACTTTATTTTCTGTAATCGGCGCTGTGTTGCTAAACATTGTAAAGCATGTGGGTCAAGCACTTGCCGCACCTAAGCAGCAAAAGAGTTATTCATTTTAGAATTTAATCTAGTATCTTAAAAATGATGTAAAGTTTTTAATATGACGTAGAATTAAAGCTATTTCCGTACAACCTAAGTATGCTCGTTAGAAAAACTATGAACATGCGCATGCTAGATTTTTTTAATTTGTTAGTCGGCCGACATCTTGGGTTGTACTGGACCTAACAAGTTTATTATCGGATGTCTACTTATATTTATTATGATATCATTATTCATTGTAATGGCAATAGTCAATAGAATTTAAATTTTGTTTTACTTAAATTTTGTTTTATTTGTTCTCCAGTCGATTGAAGGGTCGTTTGAACAAGCATTGAATTCATGAAATACTGTAGGTATGTAATTCTGTGAATGTTTACTATACAAGCTATAGATAACACAGAGCTATACAAATAATTGTGGAGGGATAACAGTATAAATATAAGCTTTTCCAACTCCCTCCTCCCTGAGTC